AATGAACTTGTCGGTGAATTAATTGTCGGTGAACTAAGTTGTCGGTGAAGTGATTGTCGGTGAAATGATACGTATCCCTTTTGCCATGGCTAGGGTACTATTTACTCGCACTAACAAATCGACCTAACTATACTATCACCTAACTCTAACTCTAACTAACAAATTGACCTAAACTACACTATCACCTAACTCTAACTATAACTCTAATTTAGGCCAGTATTTTAATCATGTGATGTGATGACCACGAAGATATCACTGGGTACTTATTCTTCAATCTTCCCGTTTTGAAAATGTTTTATTAAAATCTTTCTGTGAAATTACGTTCCAGAAAAATATTTATTGCAGTGTGAAATGGTATTTTGAAACATTAGCTACGAAGTAAATGTTTTCAAAATCATTATTATCGTAAGGAGACATATGGTTTATTATCCCGGTTATGATTTTATTGGTCGATCTATTTTTAGGTATCACGAATATCACTCAAATTCAGTTGAATTTCCAAAATCCGCCCATATTGTTAATTTAATTAAATTTCATTTTTTACAATGCACTCATTTAATCGGCCTTATGTAATTTATCCATAAATATGCATTTCACAAGTGTGAATTATAAAGATTTGACTATATAATACTGCCTGCTAACCCTATCGATAACCTTAAGGCAATACATAAATTAGTACTGTACAATTAATTCCAGCCAATGCGTAAAGGAGTGATGTTAGAACTTGTTAAGGACTTTAAGTACCTCGGTGGCAATTATGGACTAAGCGTTGCATGGCGGATTGAAAGAACGTAGACTATGATTGTTCTATGCATGTAGGCGAGTAAGGTATTATACTCGTTCTAAATTATCGCGAATGTCACCTAAAAACTGAAATAAAGATTAAAAACATGTATCGGAAAAAGAATACATGCAAGAAAGAGAAAGAGATATAGATTCGAGAGATAAAATTCTGGACATAACGGTTCTTAGGTTCGTGGAAATATGGGTTGAAATGCAACCTAAATGGATAGTACAATCTTGGATATTTTGGATCATGCTACCAAAAGGGCATATGCATAGTCAATAAATGAAAAGATTACATTTGAGTGGAATATGAAACCTTAATGAAGGTGAAAAAAATAGAGAAAAGAGAAACGGATAATAGAGCTAGAGTGAACACTAGTAAATTAATGTAGCTAAGTATATTTCATAAAATTGGTGGACAATGAAAAATGAATTTAATGATGATTATTTGAGATTGGAAGATCAGTTGAAAGAGCAAGAGTATAGGTTGGAAAACGTTAAAGGTAATAATAGTGATAATTTATTCATGATATGCAAAATAGGCGGTAATGCGAAGAAAGAGAACTATAAAGAAAGCGTGACAGTGACAAAGTGCGACATAACCAACAGATCAAACTGTGAAGAAGTTGAAAACTTATCCGCGTTATGTAATGAAATAGGTTGAAAGATAAAAGCTGATGAAAAAACATCCGGTAATGAATATGTTAAACGGACCGAATATTGAACAACAGCTGAGGAAGGTGATAAAAAAAGGGTATGAAACTGCAGATAAAAAATAAGTGAATGATAAAATAATGAAGGAGAGGAGTATAAGAAATGGAATGTTGTCTGTAGGTGATTGCAATATAAGATCTAGGATCCAAAGGTTCAGATTTGATTAGGTAATGTTGAAGATCGTTCAAGAACCCATATTTGGACATATTAAAAATTTATTGCGCAGCCATGTTATTGACGACTGCACTAAAAATTCTCATATTTGTACAGTTTATTACTGTTTTTTACATCTTTTTTTTATGGCTTAAATTTTAACGACGGTCTCATGTTAAAAAAAAGGGGGGATGTAAGAAAAAAGTTTAAATTGATGACACAAATGAAAAAATACTGTAGTCGTCAATAACTGCTTCAGAATAATACCGTTATTGGTTAACAATTGGATATTCAGATTAAAATAATAATTCGAATTGAAATAGAAAGTATATTTATAAATCTAATTTTATAGGCAAAAGGATTAAGAGAAATCCCGCTTTTTACTGTTTATTGGCACAATTGGTTGATTCGATCAAATTATGAAGTATTGTTGAAACAGTATAGAATATATGAGTGTCGCTAAAGAAAACCCGAAAATTTAAATATAAGTCATATTCAAATTTTTGGGTTTTCTTTTAGCGACGCTCATATACTCTACTAAAATTTTGCGTAAACGACATTTTAAATTATTGGCGATTGTTGAAAACTTCGATTTTTTTTTTGAAATTTTATGTTTACATATTGTTCAAATTGCTTCTAGCTGCTAATAAAAGTTACGATCTATCAAGCTCCATTGAAGACTAATCATTTATATAAAAATTCTTGTGCTAATAGTTTTAAAAAAACGTTAGCTGGTTTATTTACAGTAATAACTATTTTACGGTTAACTATCAATAAACATATACATGACGTAGAAACAATTTCGGCATTGATTATTAATATAAAATTGTTGTTATTTCCGAAATAACACAGACAATGGTTTCTATGTCGCGTATAATTTAACGGACACTCTTGAAGTACAAATTAAAACGGTTATACGGATTCAATAAAAAAAGTTTTCGCCAGTCCCCTTATGAGTTTTATCATCAAATTACTAACCCATATAACAGTTTAATGCATTAGTTGACTATAACAATATCTAGCTTGAAATGGTCTATCATTATAAAGTAATTTAATAAGTATTTGTCAGACCTATTTCCCCTATGAAAATTGATATACGGAAATATATGCATAAATACGGAAGTTTATACGGGTAAGCACGGGCTTCATAATCACTGTACGGAAACTACACGGAAACTGTTCATCCAAAAATTTAATACACATTATCGCACGAAAAATTTGAAACCTGTGTACTGTTGTGCATAATATTACATCTATATATTGACGTGTATGCATCTTAATTTCCGTGCACTAACGTGCACAATTGTTAAAATTCATAACGATCATAATTTTCGTGCACTGACGTTAAGATTCTTAATTCAGTGCTCTGACGTCATGATCGTCACAATTGTTAAGATTCTTAACGATCATAATTTTCATGATGATCATTAAGATTCTTAATGATTAAAATTTCCGTGCACTAACGTGACGATCGTTAAGATTCTTAACGATCATAATTTCCATGCACTGACGCGCACCAATCGCATTTGATCTATGAGTAAATAAATATATACTTTTTTGTTTTTTTTTTGTTTTATTTTTTATTTTTATTTTTCTATACACTTACAATTTATTTTTTTGAATTTTATTTTTTTTTGTATTTTACTGACCTTTATTTGATTTTTTTCTTTTTTAGTTATTCATTGTTTTTAGATTCGTTCTTTGGAGTCATTGCCTTGGGAGTCGCTCTTTTGGAGTCGGTGTTGCTTTTAGTGTATGCTTTTCTGCTTTTCTTCTTTTATACTTCCTACTTTTATTTTATGTTTTTTTTTTTTGTTTTTTTTTTTTAATTCAATTTTTAATAATTCTGCTCAAATTTTTCTATTCCAGTCGATTTAAACGTTGCTTTTGGTGTTACCTTTTTTGAAGTCGTATTACTTTCAATATATCATCGCGTTTTGCTTCCGATTCTTGGTGCCACTTTTGAGTTACCGCCGTTAGAGTCGTCATTATTAGAGTAACTTGGAGTAACTGCTGGAGTAGTCATTTTAGATTTTTTTTAGCCGTCATAGTTTTAAACTTCATTTTAGTACCATTGCTTTGGTTTGTTTTTTTCTGACATTGTTAGTTTTAGTTTTGCGATTAGAGGTTTCTATTATTTGATATGTAAATTGATTTCATTATGTAATGTCTTTGTAACTTAATAAATTAAAGCATTTGGATTATAAAATCCATGTAATAAAATTATTATAAGATACATATTATAATATCTGTTTGCATATAGAATGTGTATACGAATGTAGATATAATTACACACTATTATTTGTTACCTGCACGTAAATATGCACGAGACAATACACAGGAAAACACATAAAATTGCACGTTAGTACGTGCACTGTTGCACGAAATCCGCACCTTTTTACATGCTGTAAACGTGCTTTCTTGTGCATTATCTCGTATAGATTTACGTGTAGGTTTGTGTGGTCCCATAATCAAACTTTTTCGTGCATTGCCGTATCATCCCGTGCGGCAATTTCTTATAGGGTTCGTTAGATAAACTTAACGAATATGCTGCATAACAGGATAGTTGATTAGGGATTTACATTGCGCGAAATGACAAATTATCGTATCTGTGATCTTGCGCGACTTTCACGAGATGACATCATACCTCGTACGTACGTACGTACGTACGTACAAGATGCAATGTGTACAAGGTTGGCGGCGCAGCTCTCCTGAACTACGAATCAGATTACAAGATTAGGTGTAACGTAACACAGGAATATTCAAAACAAAGTTTGTTCTACCAAAAATCGCACATAACTCCAAAATCAGCATAAGAAACAACCTTTTGTGCTCTAACAAAAAGCTTTCGTTGGATAATATTACTATAAAAACTACCCCTCTTTAGATCCATAACAGGGCCCCTGAATACGAAGATATAACATTAAGATAACTCTGTCATGATAATTGATGTGATATCTACTATGTTTACTAGTGTTAAAATGGTCAAAGTGTACATGGTTACACTTATGTTACTTAGTAGAATTATTTTTAAAGTGTACGAGACAGTTATCTTAATGTGATATCTTCGTATTCAGGGACCCTTCCACCCTAACCTTATCGAATTTTAAAAATTTTTTCTGCGCCGCCAACCTTGTACACATTTTCGGTATGCGTACGAGATAAACTATCCGATTAAGAAATTTTGATGAAATTTTTAGCGTATATTCTAAAATGACTTATCACATGAGACTCGCGAACTCCTGCGATAAAAGTCTCTCATGAGAATTTTAGCTTTAAAAAAGTAAAAGAACAAGGATCATTAATCCCACTTCAAATCATTATGTTACGTCTAGGCCTAATCATGAGGGACACGGGCATTTGATTTTAAAAATGGGGCTCAAGTCATCATTACTTCTTGGAACGCTTTTATGAACAAGGAAGTGAACTATTTTTATCGACTTAAGGCCGTTTAAAGTTGATTAGTTTTTAACGTGAACATTTTAAGCTCAGGCTCGAGGGAGGAGGGAAAATTTAAACAAACACATATACGACAGAATATTTGTTCAAATCTCATTGGTAATTTCCGGGGGGACAGCTAATCAAGAGGGGGATGATGTTAAACAACTATCCAACTTTGAATGGCCTAATCATAATTAAATTATTAATATAGTAATCTTAGCTTGAAAGAATGCATATTACTGAATGAGTGTCATGTGTTTGTAAAGTCGTTGGCGCCATCGCGTGTTGGTCTTAATCGTTGGCATGGTGGATCAAAAGAAAGGACATCATTAATCAAAGTAAATAAGGACAAGAGAAAACGGAACAACTGGTAAACGGTTGGCTTAATCGTATTTTCACTACAAAGCAAAGTCTTTCGTGAATATAATTAATTTGGAATGGTATTGTCACTGGCAAAACCCGTGCTCTCAAGAATTCAAGACTTATGCGGACCTACGAATCGTAACGCAAAAGACATTGTATTGCAATGCCTCGGGACCCACGATTATCGAACGACGATCATCTGGAGCCAGGTTCCCTGTTTAAAGCACTAATGACGATCTTATGGAAGCCAAGTCCCCTCGAACGATATCTCATTGAAAAGAAGACACTTACCCGATTCGGTTTGACAGCTGTCAAAGTGACATTACCTTGTCGGGTTAAGTGTGTAGCCGTGAAAGAAGGAATGTGAATGAGATAATGAATGAATCAATAAATCAACGGGTAAAGAACGTAGATTCATTTTCCTTCCGTCGAACGCTTCAATGAGAATGACTGTGTGTAAGGGTAGGGAATTGGACTAGAAAAGGGTCGTATGGTTTGAGCTCAATGACGGTCTAATGACAAAAGAGAGGAGGAAATTTTATATTTTGTTCTTTTTCTTGCCCTGTAAATTTGTTATAAATAAGAGGTCGAATTCCTCTTGTCAAAAGGCCGGTGTGTGCGTAATTTGCTCCCTATACAAATAAACCCATCAATAACAAGCCCTTGAATTTACCCAAGCTAAAACACTCTTTAAAATTGTACCGAATTACTTACGTAACGATACTTAACAGACGCCTTAAACCTTCGCAAATTAATATCCGCCTCACCTCTCTATTAAGTATTGTTACTTAACGTCTCCCCGTTTGACAAGCGACCGACCGTCGTTTACCTTTTGTTTTGTGGGTAGTGTGTTTTGATCGTTTACCCACTAACAGTATAAAGAGAGAAAGTATCATTCCCGCCTACCCGGAGTTAGAATGAAAAAATAAGAAAATAGATCAATGAAATTAACCTATTGTAAATAATTAAATGAGTGAGGGAAATTGGACAACAAAAAACAAGAAAGTTAAATACCCGCCTGTGTTACTGTATGCTCATCCTTGGCCACATTAAATCTGGAAAAGGAATCGAGAAACGATGAATACGAAGTACGACATGTTAACCTAATTTAAAACTAGCGAAAGTTTTAGTAACAAATCAAAACATACCTTGAGAAAACACGAGATAAAATACTTGCAACAAAATTTGTTATGTCCAATTGATTTTGGATGACAATAGCGTGGATTTTCCAATAAACATGCAAATATTACCGTTTGTAAAGCACAGGTCATTGGGTGACAGTGAATATTGCTATGGAATTTAATTAAAAGAGGATGAACATAAGTCGTTTGTATATTTTCCAGAATCCGCTGATACAGAACATGTGGCTGGACAATGTTGATTATTGTTATGAACATGGAAACGAAGTTGAAAAAGATGAGAAAACATTAGAGCCATATAAAATAGCTGATATGGATGCAATGGCATTTGTCGAAGAAAATTGGAGCTGAAATTGAAATTGACATTGAAGCACAGATTAATGATATCAGAGTATTTTTTTCTAATTGTCAAAGACAGTTGAGATAGATTATAACGATAGTCACCAGAACAATGTAATAATTAAAAAGAGAAGCACTCGAATGGTTTCAAAAACCAGAGGAAATAGAAGATTTTACCAAAATATGTGGTGCTAGTTGTGAAACTAAAGATATAGATCACAGTGATAAAACGAATAACTTTAGTTATTTTTATTAGGGATAATGACAGTAGAAATAGTGAAAGGCCTGTCGAAAAAATAAATTTGGATCAAACCTACGAGTTGTAACTGAATTAACAAAAATAGTCAAATGGAGTAGAGATGATAAAAGAACACGATTTTATCGCTGACCCTGTCAAATCAGAAGCAAACGAAAAACCGCCGAACAATCTTGGAAGTTGTTATGTAAAAGGACAGAGTTAAAATAAAGAAAAACGTTGCTTCACTAATTATCAAGAAAACGTGGGATGAAACTACCGAAGAGGCATGTAGCATTGATGATTATTTGCATCATGAAACCAAAGTCAATGCTGATAAACATGTTGCAAAAATCAGAAAAAAAGTCAAGGGACAAAACAAATGATTATTTGAGCTTAGTTAAAATTTTCGATTTTTTTCTTTTTGCTGGTATTAAAACTTCTGAAGATATATTTGAATTAACTTCCTGATTAGGCTCATTATCACTAACAATTTCTTGTAGATTATCTTCTTCATTATTGCTGTTATTTTCAACTTTTAATAAAATATTTTGTTGCTTTTCGGGTTGTCGACGTTTAGCTCTAGTTAAAAATGATTAGCAATATAATTCATTTTGCAAATAATTTCGTAATATGTAATTAAAATATTTATATTTTGTATTCTTTATTTATTTATATAAAATGGTGGTCTTAAACATTAAAAAAACTAGCCAACAACTGATGGCAGGATATAAGCTATAAAGTTTTAATAAAATAATACGCACAATAATTTTTAATAAAAAATAAACAGCAATTTATATTCTCTTATCTGAAAGCGAAGAGAAATTTAGACTTTAAATATAAATAATCGATTATATGCATTAAAATCGATTCGAGATGTGAATCGATTCTACTACCATAGAATCGATTTAAATCCTATAATGATCATTTACGCAGATTACAAAATTAGAACACAATTTATGTTAAAAAAAATTACTTTAATATAATTAAAAGAGCAATTCAAAAAAATTTAGAAAAATCCTAAATTTAGAAATGAAATTAGAAAACAAACAGCAAAAAACAGCACATGTTTTAATTTGCCAATGAAGGTTAATTACTAATTCATTTCTGTTAAACTATTTGACACTAGGGCATTTTCTTTAATTAAATACTATTATATTGTGAAAAAATATGCCCGAGCGTCAAATAGACAAGAAATAGATCAGTAAAAAAAAAACATAATAATTAGTGTGCCGTTATATTACTAGTATATATAAAGATACAGGTAAAATTAATTTCGCCAAATTTCACCAATTTTACGTACGTACCAACAGTGGTGAAATTATTTTACCACTCTAAGTTCACCGGTATCCTTACTCATAGACCCCTTTCCTTGAGATAATCAGCCCAACAATTATCCCAATACTGAGCGATATCATCTCCGTCCTTCGGCAAGCCTACAAAAGGTTTATACATAAATAATGTTAGCGTTTATTTTTTTTTAAAAAAAAGCAGAAGTTATGCTATAAAAAAATTGAATAAAATTAATTTTTATGATCTATAGTTTATAAATTTGATACCATTTTGAATGACTTCAGCTTCAAATTTTGGTTCCTGAGTCGAGAAAAATGCGGAATAATCTTTGGACATTTGCCTAAAGCTATTTTGCGACATTGCTATAGTTGTTGTAACATTATTGTAAAAAAGAAGGTGTAGCTACTGAAGTAAGCTAAAGAGAATGCTAGAAGCTAAATTCATCTTCTTACATGACTTATAAATGGAAGATTCGGAAACATATTGATGTAACCAATAAGGGTCGATATTAAAATGGCTGTTATCTCCGTTAATCATTGATTCTGACAATTGTTGGCTAACTGAAGCTATTGTCGCAGGCCATTAATAAAAATAAAAGAATCGTATAGTTGTAAACAAGAATACTTAAAGTTGTTCTCACATTCCCGGGAATCGAATGAGACTATTTCATTTTTAATTGCTTCTGATAACTGGAGATTTTGTTTCCTTTCATAATCTTCACCCTTGTCTCCATTAATCATCACATCTTCGATCGTTTTCCTTTGTAAAACTATAAATGTAAAAGGACTAATAAGTATATACAAAACTATATATTAATAATGAAAGTCACTTCTTGAACCCGGTTTCTTACAGGATTGGTAACTAAATGTTCCATATTGAACATTTTCAGGCAACTGCTGAGTATTTGCGTTCAAACAAGGTACACCTTGAGGATGCCCATTTTTTTGCTCTTTAGAGGACTTATTTGACGGAACTGTGGCTATTGCAGTTGTTATTACTTAAAATATATAAAAGACTTGATACGTACGTACGTACGTACGTAAAATTTATACATGATATTGAAAGTTGTATTTTTAAAAAAATCTTGTTTACTTACACAATCGAGGCTTAGGTCCCCTTTTTTTAGTATTCTCTGGTGTAACACATTCTTCTCCCCTTCTGATACAAGCCTCGCAATTTGGACCATCATCCTTTTGGCATTTTATTTTTTTTCCTTTGCACCGGATACAAGAACGACCTACATATTTTTTGCGTTTATTACCCATGGGTATATGCATACAGACAGGTTAATTATCTGATCTTTTATAAGTTCAGCTTGAATGGATGAACGCTAACCATTTGTGATGACCTAGCATAATTATTCGAATAAGTTTATTCTACAAAGAATATATTGGAATACCACAAAAATTATTCCGAGTGGCGTAGTGAATCCAAATTTATAAATAAAAATTGTGGCATGATAGACACATTTAGTTTCTTGGAAAGAAAATTATTTAGTTAATATTGGAAAAGATTTACACCTATTAATAAATCTTTAAAAGATTTCTTATCTCCTGTAATGTAACAGTAGATTGATAATTTCTAAGGTTACGTTATATTTTGAGAAATTAAGTTCTATTACTGTATTGCAATTTCGAGGTTTGGTCATGTGATCTTAACGATCTAGAATCTTTCAATTATTTGGCAATAATTAAATTATAAAGATTAATAACTTGACAATATTCCAAAAAAATCAAACAAGCATTGCGTATTCTAATATAATATCACAGGGTAACCGACTATATCAAATAGTCTTTGGCATATGATTTTTATTTCTTAGCCATAAAACAATGAGATATGGAAATTTAAGTAGCAAATACAAAGGGTAACGTAGTGTCACTACGTACGTACCAGTGGCACACATTGTATAACACAGAGTATTTAATAGTTTGGCGCATAATTCAGCCAAGAAACACCATAGCTAAAAAATGGAAGTGGTATCAACATATTGCTTATGGCAACGTTGTACAAATTGGGTTCTGGGCCTTTTCGAACTTTCCGGCGTACAATTCGAAAGATGTTTGCATACTTGTTTCTAAAAATGAATGTTATGTATGTACGTGTCGTGCCTCAGGTGCCAATTTCCCCAAATTAGACTTATTGTTTTATCAAGGATTAGTTTATAATTTGGAGCAATTAATGCTGATCGGCTAATGCTGGAAAAAAAAATTAATATCCAGAGTACTCAGTTTTAAGTAAGGTTGTGTTACGAAGGTTACAATATTACACTATATCAGATATGAGTGAAAACCTGGAAGTGAATTTTTATTGGCGAGTTTGACCCCTGATAATTGCATTATTACGTAATTCGTCGTGCATACGACCAACATTCTAGTCGTTTCGATAGCACGTAACACTTATCCAAATTGAGTTCATCAGATATCGATCGAGCCGGCATGGCCGCGGGCCACCCGGGTCAGGTCATGTCGATCACAAGGTCGGGCAGAGTCGGGTCTGGCCCGTGGGCCACCTGACGGGCCAGAAGTATTTGATTGGCTAAAAAAGTTGAGATTATTGTTATTGTCAACTTGCGATCATTAGTTATCGTTATCATTTTGCCATCTTTATATTTTGTTTAGTACCAAATTTTGTATATTTGTTTTGCATTATATTCGAAGAATAATTTAACTTAAACATCAGAATGAAATGCATATAACAAACATAAAACAATAAAGTATTATTAGCACTTGAATTCTTTAAAGTAAACGTACTGTAAATTTTCGAAATAATGGTCTGGGCACTATTTCGAAAAGTTTGTTCTCTAGAAATAGTATATCTGGTTTTGAAATAACTCTTATGGGCATTTCAAAATATACAGTTGAAACAATCATAAATACTATTTATACTATACTATATGCGTATTAGTATATGAGCTATTAAATGTTTTATTTTAGAAACAATTAGATTCGCATACATATTCTCAACTAACTTATTTTAATTATTTTATTGTTTTATTTTTTTTTATAACCATTCTAAGACTTTCTTCTCTTGGATTGATGATCTTCTTCGTCTAAATTAATAACTGCTTTATTTTTGTAATCTGATTGTCCTTTTTTTTGGGTTTCTTGAATATCTTTATAGGCGGTACTAGTATTAGGTTTAACTGAAAATTTGATATCATCGCTGATGATATCGATTATTGACTTAGTATTAAATATTGTCGAAGGAGAACTTTCAAACATATTCTTATTTGTATTCAAAGTTTTTAAATGGTCTATATCCATTGCTTCTATCATTATTTTTCCAGATGTTGAAAATTTGATAAGACCCAAAATAAGATAATTGTGATCTAATTTAATATAAGATCCTAAAAGACCTAAATATTTTTCAAATCTAATTGATTGAGAGTGATAAAAGGCAGTTATTTGCATTTTATCATTGGCTGTACTAGTAACCAAATTATACTCAAGACATTCTATTCCGAAATGAATAAAATCTGCAACTTTTTTTGGAGCCGACACAGGTTGAATACCAAAATATCAGACAAAATATCAGCTGTCCAATATTTTTATATATAATAACGATATTTTATCAAGATATGTATAAGGGATATAGGTTGACTATATCTTGCTGAAATCGGACTGAAATTTTAGCTTTTGAACTGAAAGTATTAGTAAATATTGGCTGAAAAATATCTTGCCGAAATTAGCTTGTATTTTGAAGGAATGAGTATCGTCCATCAATATTATTTTAAAAAAATATATATTATTTTTATATAATATGTTGTTTAAGTATAGTTATTTATAT